ATAATAATAATAATAATAATAATAATAATAATAATGGTAACCTATGAAGAAAAACACAATCGAAGCGCTCCAACAGATGACCATCCCGTGTTTAATAATAATAATAACAGAAACCCATGAGAAACCCAATCCAAGCACCGCAACAGATGGCCATCCAGTCTTTGCAATAATAATAATAATAGAAACCTATGCAGAAAAAACATATAATCAAAGCTGTTCCAGGAGAAATCCCAAATACATAATGGAGAATTAATAATTCTAGTCCTTGTTTGGGTTGGGAATGTCCTTCTGGTGGCACGAGGAGAAAGGACAGCAATCCCGAAAGCAAAGAAGAGAAATATTCGGTTTCCCAGGTATGTATGTATTCTGGAAATTTTGAAACAGAGGTTGGATGGGTGCCTTTGGATGCATGGATCCCTAGTTTGGCAAGGGGTCAGACTAGATAAACTTGTGGGGGTCCCTTCAACTTGAATAATAATAATCAATTATATTTATAATAATCCTAATAAAGCTATATCACACAATATAATATTATATTATAAAGTGTTTGTATATATATATATATATATATATATATATATATATATCCTCATCTAACTATATTAAACAATGTTATATTATAAGGTATTAATAATATAATTTTAATAATATATACTATATAATCCTCATCTAACTATATTACACTATAATATTATAATATATCATAAGGTATTATAATAAATATATATATATATATAATCCTCACCTTACTACATTACACAATATAATATTATAATATATTATAAGATAGTAATAATATAATTTTAATAATATAATATATATATTCCTTATGTAACTATATTGCACAATATAATATTAAAATATATTATAAGGTATTAATATAATACCTTTTAATATATTATAATATTATATTGTGCAATATAGTTACATATAATTTTAATATAATACATAATATATAATAATACATATAATATATAATTATCATACAAATGTTCCACAATATAATATAAGGTATTAATAATATAATATTTAATAATATAATATATATTATATAA